TCACATCTGAAGGGAAGGGCCCCAGGCCTGGATATGCAATTTCAGGGGCGATGGGAGACTCCTGCGCCCAAGTCCAAGTCCTGCTTTGCCCCTGGCTTCCCTTCTCCAAGTGAACCTTGTCGCCTGCAAACCAACATCTCCTCTTTAAAATAGGAGGGTTTCATCTGTGCTGTCTCCTTGTCAGGGACTTAAAATTAATTATTAGGCCCCTCCTGCCTTCTCTTCTTTCACCTGGGACGACCCTGTGTTCCCTTCTCTTTGTTTACCCTATCCAACTCTCATATTCATGTGCACTAAAAACTCACCTCGGAGGCAGATTATAGCATCTAATTAGAAAGGAAGCCCCTGTGCTCCGGGGCTCAGACCCGTTTGCAGTATGTACTTGGAATAGGTCTTTTCCCGAGGACTTTTGGCCCTAACTGGCTTTGAGCGGCCACAAGGACAAAAGCCAGAAGGAAGTAAAAGGAGGAGCTCTCACCTGGTGGTGGACGAGCCCGCCCGGAGGGAGATGATGCAGTGGCTTCTTGGGCCCGGGGTGTGAGATGGGGGGTATTGACTGGAGCCCCACATTTGAACTGTACAGCAGTTGGAGAGAGCCTAGGTAGAGTAAAGGTTAGGAGAGATGACGTGGCGGGGAGCTTCTCTGCTGGAGAAGTTGGAGCCAAAGGCCTACCCTGTGGAAGTGAGCCAGTGCTGACCGATGAGCCACATCCAATTGTGCTGCTAGAGACCCGCCACACGAGTAAGCCTGGCCTCTGGCCAGCTTCCTAAGGTGGGCTGGTGTCCCTGGAACCCACCCACTCACTCCCTGCTCCTGACCACCCAGGCCCAGGCTCTCTGCCTCCTAGCTGAGGCTAGCCTCTACGAATTCTTGGGGTTCCAGTTTCTGTACCTGCTCTGGGGACCAGGAATGGGTCCTTCTTCGCTGCCACTGCTGCTGCTGGAAGCCTCATCTCCACTGGGGAGCCCAGCTTGGGGGCAAAGTTGACCAGAACTCCTCTCCCCAACCAGGCTCCCTGCTTGGGAGGCCTGAGAGTTTAGCACGATGAACTTGTATTTTTTCCAGTTGCAGGCCTTGGGGTCGGGGCTGCCTGGACTGGGGAGGCCTTGACTGCAGCTGCGAGACTCAGTAGGTGGGTCTGGGTGCCCTTCGGAGCACCTGGGACTGCCTGGTGGACGGGCCGTTGGGGGCGTGGGGGGCTCTGCCTCCAGGGGCCGCAGGGAGATGCCCAGAGGTTCATAGCTGGGAAAAGTGCGGTGGACATTAGTGCTATCTTCTAATCTCGGCTTCTGCCCCTGACACCTGGGGTCCCAACCACCTCCTCCACGGAGAACACCGAGTGGGCTGCTCACCTGGCCTGAATGAAGCGGTGGCACGCCTGGACCACATGATCCATCTGCAAATAGGTGGCAGCCGCGAGAACGGCTGGTGCGGTGGCCGGAGAGAGGCGCAGGCGCGACGTGTACATAAAGTCCAGAAGAGGAGCGAAGCCTCCGGCTTCGGGGCCCCCGGGCAGGGAGAGCACATCCACCCCGACTCCTGCACGGCCTCGGAAGATGGAGTAGAAGAAGCCGCTGGGGAAAGGGCAGATCAGTCATGTTCGGGGCCAGGGACCCACTACAGAAAGCCACGCCCCGTAGAGAGTCCCGCCCCCTCCTCTGTCGCCCCGCCCCCAATTCCAGGACGCCCCGCCCCCTGCTCTGGCGGGCTTGGCTCCCTATTTCCTCCCCAAGACCTTCTGCCTCCGCCCCTTTCCCATTGGGTCCCGTTGCATCCCCAGAGGCTCCCCTCGAACCTGCAGGCGATGAGCACCGCCTTGTGTGCTCGAAGGGGTTGCCCGCCAACCAGCAGCGTGACGTCGGTGAGGATCCCGCGCAGGCGCAGCTCGTTGAGGTTGCCGAGCACGTCGGAGGAGTGGCGCGTGAACTCGCGGACGTAGCCCAGCGCCCGCTCCGGGGCCGCGGCGGATCCCATCGCGGCCAGGCCCGCGGGTGCCGGGGCATCCAGGCGGTCCTAAGGCGCCCTCTCTCTTTTTCTCCCTCCCTCCCGCGGTTG